TATAGATATAGATATATATATAAAAATAAACAGCAAAATGGTGAATGTATAAAAGGTATTAACACTCAAGACAGCTCTGGGTGGAAAGGGTTAAAAGTTCAAAACTTTCTCACCTTAGAGGTTTCCATACAATATGAAGAAAATACATAGTGAGGTTTGCTTTCACAGCATTGATGTGTGCAGAGTGGTTAAAAAAGTGAAACATGGGCACTTATACAATGTTTTACAAAAAACATCAAAGAGAAATAACAAACAATAACAATTTCAGGCAACAAGACCACAGGATAGCAAGTTAACAAACTTTTTAACCTCTTTTTTCTTTAAATATTAGGGATTTATACAAAACACATAATAAAATACCCATGTTATCAAATTACTTCACACAAGAAACACACTGAAGCTCTAGGAAGAAAGTACCTTTGGAATTTGGCACTATAGTTTCACTGATTTTTTTTTTTTTTCTTTAAAAGAAAAACCGATCACATTTTGCTGAACACAAACACATCTAAATTGTTCACAATAAAAAAATGACATCAATGCGTCACAAGCCAACACAAACTTATTCTGGAATATTTTTTCATTTTTCACATGAAATTCATTTTTTTAAGCAAACAACTTTTTTTTTATTTTTTTTTTGACTCTTGTTTTTGTTCTCGTTGTTCAAGTAAACCAATTTTAAACTTGTCTTTTATAAACATAGAACACTTAAGACCATAAGACTCATGATGAAACCACAACTTAATTCACAGAAGCACCAACGTAACACATTTTACAGTAACCTTTCTTCTGTACATTGAAACAGTATAAAATATAGGTAATTTCATGTGCATTAAACCATGGATTGTCTAACTGTGAGTCAGTTCAGCAAAAGGTGACACAAGTAGGTAGCATTTGCCCTAAAACAGGGTAAATATTTTCTTATACTAATCTACAAAAAGTGGTTCTATATATATACTTTAATGAGAAAGTGAGCCACCTAAAATGGCCTTATCAAAAAACTTTACACTGCCTGAAAAATGTAAAAACTATTACAGACCTCTAGAGACTTAAAATCAGACAGTTTTATTTCTCAAACTGTTTTGGAAGTAGTCTGTTAGAAACCAACATTCTGTGCCTCTGGACACATATTGCTATTGTCACCAGTGACCAGGCAGAATGCCAATCCCTGTATAATACTTTCAAGTCTGTTTTTTTTTTTATTTTTTTTTTACGAAATGAAAAAAACCCAAAAAAACCAACAAAACCAAAACTAAAACCAAAACCAAAACAAAAAACCCAAACGAGAAAACCCAAAGGAAAAAAGAAAACAAAAAAAAAAAAAAAAGGAAAGAAAGAAAAAACATTTTGCCACAGGTTGTTTTTAAATCCTATCATTAATTTATCTAATAATAAATTTCAGTCTTGCATGAATGCAGCAATGTTTTTTCACATTGACTTCCCAGAATTCATAGCTAGATGAGGTCACATGCAAATTTCAAAGGTCAAACTAGATCAAAGGTCAGTAGGAGAACCAAATATGATGTGAGGTCAGAAAGACATCAGAAACAATGACGGGACGATGAAACTTTTTTTTTTTTTTTTTTTTTTTTTGAGACGCCACAGGGACATGCTAGGCAAACGATGGGCTAACGGGCATGGAGATGTCTAGGGAAAAAACAAGGAAGAGGAAAAAAAGTTACATAGAATCTATGCAGCACAAACAAAATCACTTTTATGGGTGCAGGAGAAAACTAATGCAAATCTTTTATCAGTAGAGTCTATGAGCCGTTCACATAATTTGCATTAACTTACAATACTTGTCAACAAGAGCACAATGGAGAACCCCAAAAGAATCCATCTGAAAGGAGTCAGAGAGAATGGATTCCTCTTTGGGGAGAAAGGAGAGGAAAGAACCAGTTTCTACAAACGTAACAGAAAGGTACGGGGAGAGGGAAATAAAAGATCAGACAACTGAACTTTCAACTAGGCAATGGAAACTACGAACAAAATAACCAGACAAATACAAACAAGAGGATAAAAGCATGAACTGTAAAGGGTGTAGGGTTCAACAGTGAAAAAGCGCCCATTCTTGGCACAATTACTCTAGAGACTACTTCAAAGGATCTAGCTAGCATAGAGAGCTGCTCTTTAGGTATCCAATAAGTTAACAATAGGCAATAAATAACTTCCATTATTTCTGAGGCAGTAAAAATTTTGTATAAAAATAGAAATGCTTTTTACAAATAAAATTTACAGGCCTGTGGCTTTCTTTTTTTATTATTATTAAATTTATCTCTCAAGAAACATCAAGTATTGTCACTCATTTTATTTTATTTTTTTTATTTTAAACCCTGTAGCTTTAGAAACAGATCTCTAAATCTTTTTTACATTAATCCTTTCCAAAAAAACAAGAACTTAAAAAAAAGTGAAATATAAAGACGACCAGTGTAAAATCAGACTAATATATAACAATACATTGATTTGAACCGAAAAAAAAAAAAAATCAAATCTTCTCAAAAAACAAGTTGATGTAGCGGAAAGACTTGTTTCAATTTTCGTTGCAAAATAAGTGCTTCAACTGGCATGAGGCCATTTTGTTTAACCTATAAACTGCTGGTGCCACCCTGGTAAAATACGATCCATCCATAGAAAACAACTTTTATTGTGTGCTAATGGCACCAGGGTTCACAGAGTTAAATTGCACATTTTTGTGTGTGTGTGTGTGTGTGTTGCTTTGAATTTCAAGACGTTTATTTTTGTTTTAAAAAGGAGATAAATTATGCTGCAAAACAAAATACAGTAACACAACTCAGTAATTACTTGGCAAGGAAATGGGAGCCAAGTGGAATAAGGACAAGTGGGGAAATGGAAGTGGTAACTGTAAAAATAACTGTCTCTTGGTGAAGGTTGGCTATATGTTCTTTCTTAACCCCCCTGCAGAGGACAGGTTTGCTCATGGGACTTACCCTAAGAAAGCTAAAATAAGTGCAGTAAGCATCTGGGGTTAAGATCAGTAAGGTTTGCTGTCATTTTTGGAGCGTTTCAGCTGAACCTTCAAGCGTTTCATGCCAATCTGAAAGCCGTTCATAGCCTGGATAGCAGCTTGTGCAGAGACTGGATTGTCATAGCTAACAAAACCTACGAGACACAGAACGGAGGCGGGAGAGAAAGCGAACTATAGGTTAGAACAAATGTCAGAATGCTTTTTGTTAGGATTTTATTTTTACTATTTATTTGACACATTTACCTCTCACTTTCAATTAGTTCTTTCATCACACTTCGTATCCCATTTCCTCTCCCGTTTCCTTTGCCTCCCCCTTTACCTTCGTAACATTTCTTTACTAGCTGGGATGCACTTGGCCAGTTTTGGTGCAATGCAGTTTCCAATCTGTTATTTATCTACCTAACTTAGAGACCAAAGTTATTTATCACTGTGACACTTTTCACTGTAATATCTACGTACCTCCCAGTCTGTGAGGAAGTACTATTAGGCCAGCCTGCAGACGTGAAGCTGAAACAGAAAGCCTGGTTACGGAAACAAAACCCAAACTTAGATGCCGGTACGCATTTGCGCACCTGAAGTTCATGTGCACTGGTCCTGTGTGCTACGAAACATCTCCGTGGGCTTAGCCTAGGACAGTTGCAATATTCGTATTTTTACAGCTCCTTCCAGTTCAAGATCTCCAGGTGCATTAAATGTTAATTAATTCAGCCTCTTGGTCCCCAAAGGGGCATGCAAGCATCGAAATTAAGCAGCATCGTAAAGACAACGGCAGGGCTTGACGAGAACTCCAGCTCTTCTGCTCCTCGGCTGCGAGCACTAACTAGGGGGATAATGCTTGCTCGGGTAATTCAGAATGGCTGGCCTGGCTCAGCTTTCTTGTCCTCGGGAGAGTAAAAATGCTCTGTTCATAATGGACTCAAATCTCCCTGATTCTGGAAGCTCAAAATTCATTTTCATATCTGGGCCTCCCACTTGTAATTGCAAAGCTCGCCTAACTGCTGCTCTGCCTCAGCTCTGGCTAATTACTACCGCACTCAGCCTGCTATTATGCATCTGCTTTGAAATGCTCCCTCCTCTTTCCACTTGAATTTGCCTTAACACATATCCCTTCACTCTCTTAAAGCACGGATCCCACACACTTTGTTTTCAGCCCTAACACACAGGCTTCTCGGCGCCTCTCTTCTACCAGCTTTCTTCATTTGTGCTTAGCGCCTGTGTACTTTTCTGATCCATAATCTCTTTTTACTGTCTTTTTAACGTTCTTTTATGGGTCTCGCTTACCTCGCACCACTGCCCTCTTCCATCTTCAGTGTCAGAATGACACACTTTCCCCATTGTAAAGAACCCCCCCCCCCTCTTATCAACTGATCTTGGTCGTTGTCCAGCTGTCCTCCTTCATAGACCTTCCCTGTGGTTTCACCTTAAATCAATCCCACCAAACTATTTAACTTAAGACTCTTCTCTGACAATTCAAGCTAACTTCTGCTCCTTCCACTCAAAACCACCTCTCACTTAAATCTCCACAGACCTTCTCCTGGCCAAAGCCAATATGCTCTATTCATGTTGTTCTGTGGTTGATTATTTGTTACCTCCTTAGGGGATAATGAATGTTCCTCCACACTTTCCTTGGCTTTAGTAACTCTTGTCACTTCCTCACTTTCTCCACTTGATTATTTCCTCTTAATATTACTGCCATATCCTGAGGAGCTTCATCACTCTCTTCCTTTCTTCCTTTCCTCTATTTTCTTCTAGGAGATCTTATCTGTTCATAGGATTCCAATCACTGTCTTAGCACTGCGCTCCTGTGTCTACTTCCATCAGCTCGCAGATGATCTCTAGGATTTCCTCAGGGATAGAAAAGAGATCTACCGTGAGTTGGAAGGCAGCTGTAGCACCTTCCAGGCAGGTACTCCACAACCATAATGTAGCTACTCCTACCTCCCTTGAGAATTCAGCATTTTCCTCTACAGCTTTCCTGACCTTCACCTTGCTCTCTTAAGAGCATTCAGAACATTCTGCTGTGAGATTCTCATCACCTTAGTTCCTTTTCTTCTTAGCTAGTTTTAGCCACCTGAAAGTTAAGCAACTGATCTAAACTAGTCACTTAGATGGCATCTATGAACGGTGAACGAAGAGATGTAAGCACACCCAGAGGTGGCTTTTCCACCCACCATTCAGTTCACCAATTCAGACGCCTCCACTGACAACAGAGGAACAATCAGCTCAGGCTGTGCTTACCTTCCAGGGGATGAGACAAGTCACCTCATGCTATGTCTCTTTATTAGCTTCCTTGACTCAGCCACAAATTCAAACATACATCCTCTGCGCTGCATCAGTGGAATCAGCCTCTATCATTCAGTTTTTACTCTGATTCACAATTTGTCTCTTTACACAGAATGCTGTATCTACATTAGCGTGTTATACTTTCATCTTCTCCCTTATCCAGAACCTTTATTTATAACACTTACAAAGGAATCTGACATTCTCCCCCTTTATTTATCTGTTTCTGATTGCACCCATTCATCATTTTTTGTCTCAATTTTAAACCATAGGTTACATGAGGATGGGATGATGTTTCTTATCAATTTTCAAAGACCCTGTCATGCCGATTCTGATTTTTTTTTTTAAATCTCTAGGTATCTCTGTAACCAGGATAAATATTTTTAATCATTCGAGTAGCAATTTTGCTATGAGGCAGACTGTATTTATGCTCTGATGTAATTTGGTTCCCCCTCCCCTGCCTTACTTTTATGTCTCTCATTTTTGCTATTCAAAGGTTTATGAAAGGCAAGAGATAAGCTTGAACAGTGAAACCCTTTGTCTGCTGAATCAACTACAGCTCATGAGAACTCATGGAAGAGCACTTCCAGGCATAAACAGACTGACCTGTCATCCTCATAACCATTTTATCTTTTGAGCATTCATTTGAAGTGGACAACAAAGCAAATAATGCCAAAGTCCATTTTCTGCACAGAGAAGTAATTTTTCATTTTGAGAAGCAGTGTTACATCAAAATTCATCACTCTATATATCACTACCCTATGACTCAGAATGCACCTTCCTTCCCAATTCTGCCAGTGGCCTCAGACAATCTTTCCACCTTTCTAGCGTTCAACCTGTCCTCATCTGTAATTTGACTTCCTCCTCCTTTGGGCAGGAGATTGGAAAGTCCAGAGTAGAAAGCACCAAGGATGTGCAAAACATTATTATTATTATTATTGTTGTTGTTGTTGTTGTTGTTGTTATAATATTACTACTTCTACTATTACTACTACTGCTACTGGGGGAAAGAAGACCAAACAACCAAAAATCCCAAACTCAAACTGTACCAAGAGCAATGACCGTTAACTGTACAGGAGATAAATGGGTTCTTCAGATGCGCTATTGTCCTAATTTTTGGGTGCGAGGACAGAGAAAAAATAAAGCTTTTTAAAACACAAATATGGGGCTGAAACAACAAACAGACGACTCTTGCTAATAAAGCTGAGGAGGTACATACAGAATATGCTAGCATGTTAAACTAGCAGGATTAATTCTGGCTTTGCCTGTGATGAGCAGCATCACCAAGTAGTCACCTACTGAATCAGACAATCTCAACTTCCTCTGCCACTGCAGCACTTTTTGTTTAAAGCAGAACTCTCTCACTGGTGGCAGAACATCTAAGGAGGAAGAATGAGAAATTGAAATGTTAGTGAAAGCTGACTAATGCCAAAAAGACAGAGGACTTCTCCATCCGTTACGTGTTGACCCCTCTGTTTTCCCTCAAATAAGATAACCTAGGTGCATCACTCTAAGTTAGGTAATTGCATCCCATAAATCCAGACACCTGTGTAACTAGGTAATCAAGGAGTAAAAGGAAACCCACAAAAAGCAAGTGTGGGAAGCGAGCTGATGAATTGAGCTGCCTGCCCAAACTAATCTACATTCTTTCAGCAGTCACCACAATTGCTGCATTTCGATTAATGTAGCTTGATTTGACATTTCATCAACATTCCTGGAGACCTCAACAATGATTTTGTCACCCCGACATACTAACTGAACTGGCTCCAGATCAATAGGGAGTCCATTTCAATTCCACTTTTCAAATATGCTACAGCCTCAGGGGCTGTTTTAACCCATTGCAGAAACATGCTGGACTATATTAGTCTAGATATGAAGAATTTTTTGTAAAGCTTAAAGAGGTGAATGCTTCAAAAATGAACTGAAAGACTACAGAAAAACACAGAAAGAATGTCACGCCGTTTCTCTGAACCGAATTAACTTTTCCTGTGTACTAAGGGCTCATCTTCAGGTGAAAAACACTCAGCTTGTGTCAAGCCTTGAATTCCAGTGCAGTAGGTATTTCTGACTAACTTGACGAATTCTCCTCGTGTTTGAGTACTGTCTGTTTAGACAAATTCAAACCCTTTCAAGATGAGTTAAAGCCCAATAGCTGTTCCTGAATGGCGCTTGTGGAGATGAGTCCTTAGACAGACATATTTTACCAAAACCTAGATTTTTAAAAAAATAATGATATGTAAGCTAAGAAACATGTATTATGGTTAATGGGGACACTTCGAAATTAAGGGATGGTGCTGGTACAAAGGAGTTTTGGAAACTAGGGGGTTCTCTGGACTGGTTACTCTTTTGTCACACGTACAGCTGCGTTCCTTTACTCTGGGAAAGAGGTGTCACTCTTTCAGCTCCAATATTTTAGGCCAAACTTTATAAAACTTGTCTTTAAGAGATTCTGTCCTCCTCCTAGATGCTTCTCATGTCTTGCATAAGACCACAGTTATCAGACCAATGCTCTAACAGATTGCCACTCTCTTACATTCTGTACTCCACTCCATCAAAGCACTGAACTGGTGCGCCTATGCTATTCAAAGGACGTCAGCCGACTTAATCAACCCTAGAACTTGTTTTATACCAACATATCATCATCTCCTCTGTTGTGATCTACTTTTCTGGCAGCTTAAAGTGTTCTCTGGGAAACCTGACACTGATCGTGTGAGGCTCCCTTCCTCCTTGCCCTAAGGTTAGGGGAGATGCCACCTTCCATAACACACTGGAGCCCACCCACAACAGCTGGAGCTGCACATCTAGACGTCAACTGTCTGCAAAGTGTTCTGAACTGCATGTACACACCATTCAGTCACTAATTGCAAAATCTTGTACTTAATGCAGAAGAAAGAAATTCCTGTAATGTAGAAGTAATGGGTTAAACACAGCGTTTTTAAGTGGCTCAGCTATACAATAGAGAATAATTAGGTATCCATAATAAGGCAGTTTAATAGTATACTAAATGACATTCCCCCACATAGGGTGTAATTAGTTTCATGTACTTGACACATTCATGCGAGATGTCAGACTGGAAGATTATTATTGTTTTTTCATATGCAATTTTTAGTTAGAACTAGTTTGTCTGTGCACCTTCCCGCTCATTTGAGGATTAACAGTCCATTATTTTTGGAATGAGATTCCAGTATGACATTTCTCACATTGCTGTTAATTTTCTTTCCTGGCCCCTTTTCAGTACAGTGCATGTGGTTTTTACTATTCGATTTATTAAATTTGACATACCAAAGCACTTGCTCAGATTGGTCTGTTTGTCAATGAAGACTTTAGCAGAGATAACATTTCCAAAAGGCATGAACATCTGCAGAATGTCCTGGTCTCCAAACTCCTGGGGGAGGTGGTAAATAAAGAGGTTTGCCCCTTCTGGACCTTTAGGAAAACAAACAAACAAAAAAGTATGAAAACAGCTATTACAAGAGCTGTATTTAATCTAGTTTTCCATAATACTTACTGAAGGTGATGGTCAGAAAGCATTTCACTTTCCAACTTCGAAGGAACAAAAGCAAGTGGATCATCAAAGGAACAGAGCTGAAATGCAGCTCTTTAGAGCATCTTATCTTGAAAAGTGTTTACTTGATAACTCTACTACAGAAGAAGTTAAACTGCAGCCTCTTTGTTCAATTTACACAAGTGTCTTTCAGTGTAATTAGGGTTAGGAAAACAGGTACACAAAATATTACTTTCTCACAAGGAGTCCTCTGCTGCCTCAAACACCTGCATAGGTTTGTGGGTTTAATTCTAGTTGCGGGAACTTACGGAAATGCAATGAGCTGAGCTCAGATTTGAGTATCACAGATTTAAACTCAAAGGGCAGGAAATTGGTGGAGATGGGGATAAAAAGGATAAGACAAAGCAAACCTTGTGACTTGGAAATCAGTGAAGTCAGAGAGAGAAACATATTCACAATTAAATTTATACTGACTCATTTGAAAATGATACTTTTTTTTTTCCTTTAATACAAATTCCCTATAGAAAGCTCTGTATCCTGGAAGAAACTTTATAAAGTAAGTCTTTTAAAAAAGTTCAAAATAAAGTAGTTGTGTTGAAATTAAAGTGGCTTTAGACAAAGTTGAGTTTGCACAGAAAGGTGCAAACTCAAAGGTACTTTAAATAATTTTCTTACAGCCAAAATTTGAGATACACATTATTAGTGCTGTTGGTTTAAACGCTCATCCTAGCACGAATAAGGTATTTTTTCCCAGCTCAATTTCTCCTTCCCAATAACATACTGGAAATGAGCAATGGATGCCTGAAAGAACACGATCTACGATGGACCCAGACACGTGGCCTTCCCATGCAGACCCCAGGAGCGTAAGTGGTACACAAAGGGAGCAAACATTTCTGGTAAAAACACATTTAGAATTATCTGTTTAAGTACTCCCTTGCTTAATGGAACCTAAGTGTGCCTCAGATATGCTGTCCTTGGTTTTGTGGAGAGGAAGAGGAAAGTGTGCATCATATTTATGGAGTACCTTCTGCAACAGAGTCCTGAAGCCTCACCTTTCCCATACAGAAGAACCAGGCTGGCTGCTTTCTCTCAGCCTGAAGGAAAAGGTTGCAATGTTTACCCAAAAGGAAGGGACAAATGGATTAGGGGGGAAAAAACAAAAAAGAGTTTTTAAAAAGAAAAGCTTTCTTTGGGGGAAAAAGAAAAAGAGTAAAAAAAAAAAAATTGCCACCTGTAACTTATTTCTTCTTATCACAAGTAAACTATCTTTTCCAGAAAATAATATTTCTTAAAATAGTAAGAACAACCTTATTAAACAATAGTTTAGAGCATATGCATGAGGCAATTCACTGTGCTTCAGCATTTAATATTTATATAGCATTTTTCTCTGGTACTTGTTTATTCTCAGCCACTCCAGACTCTTCACCATTCCATCAGAAATCATGTTAAGAGACAAAACACAGTTGTCAGTATTCAATGATGGAATTTACTCACTCTAACTTAACCCCTCACTAACAGAAATAAGACATATAACAAAAAAAGACTGGAGTTTAAAAGGGACACTGCCAATTCATAATAATAAAAAGTAAGCCTACACTTGATATGAATGTTCATAAACAGGAAAAAAAAATAGAAAAAAATCAAACTGTCCTCCACTAAGTATCTTACAATGACACCAAATAAGCAATTTATTAATTTATTTATGTTGTCAAATAGTCTATTGTCATTGACCAAAGTGAACAAGATGAAAGACAAAAGCAGAGAACACAAAAAAATGAGGAGAAAAGAGTTGATTAAAAAAATAAATCCTTTCATTTTAAATAATCCAAGCTGTTAGCAGTAAACGAAGTAAAGAATTCAGAGAAAATATACATTTTAACTCCAGTGTTCCTGTACAATAGCCAGCTGGGGGAATGCCAAATTTGTCTTCCTCGGAAACACATCCCATAACAGTACAAGATACTACTTTAAAAGAGGATAAAAAAATTTCTCTTGGGGATATTACACTAGGTTTATTTCCAAAGCTTAGCCCTGGCAAGAACAGGAGTGACAACACAGATACAGTCTTAGAAAGCATGCAATATTTTCCCATCCTTCTAGAATTAGCTGGAAATTAAGATGAGACAAAGCAATGAAAACAGAAACAAACCCCCAAAATGCCTGGGAAGTGTGCAGGGGAACGGAAGAGGGGAAAAGGGTAACCTCATTTTCCTAAACATCTTGCAATTAGTATTAATTTATTCTTAGCAGTAACTTCCTGAGGTTTATTTGCTATCGACGCGGGGAGAGGGGGCAATCATTCACTTAGTTGCTTCCCCGCAAGACCCACAATTAAGCAAAGAACCACTCAACGCAAAAACGGATCTTGTCATTAACTCAAAACCTTGAACCTAATCATATTAACGCCATTATCACAGAAAACGGAAACCAGAAGAGAGAATGGCACCCATAAAGGGATGATTTTTTGCTACCAGTGCCTTTTTATGCGGTACTCGGTAAATGCTTTTAAATAAAAAAGGGTGGTCAGTGAAGTATAGCTTGAAGGACAGACAGTTAAAGAATGAACTACATGAGAGGTTAAAAAAAAAACCACTAAACAGGAGAAACCTGAAAAAAAAAAAATCAAAGGTTAGGCTACTCGAGGTCCTTCATCAAGCCTCCATGAAGAAATGAACCCACGACACCGCTTTGGCTTGGCCGAAAGTAGTTCGCTTGGAGCAGGGCCTTGCTCCACCAGCAGCGGGCGCTTACCTTCCTTCTGGCTGCCCGCAGCGCTTTGCTGCTGCAACAAGCTCTGGCTGTACAACGTCGGCAGCGCGGCCGCAGCGTACTGCTGGATTCCTGAGTAGGCCTGGGTGAGCGCGTCCATCGTGCCGGCCGTACCGTTCGTCAAGCCTGTTGCGCCGAGTCCTCCGTTCAGGGCCGCCATACCTGAGAGCATTTGAGCAACTTTACAAAAAACCCAACAATAGAGAAAAGAAATTGCACTTGTTCATTAGTGCTTTCCGAAAGTCGTTGGTATTATATGACACTGACAACGACGGCAGTGCATGCAGCTCGGCACTTCACCAAATGGGACTGAAAACAGAGAAACACGACTTTGGCGTCAGGGTCACTTTAGCACAGGGGTTGCACAGTCAAACGGACTCACATGCAGCCTGCTACTGGCAAGTACTACAGCTCGGTGCTCCTGAAAGCCTCTCTGCCCATCCTCCTCGACACCCATGCTTCTGCTGAGGGGATCTGAAGGACCTACTCGACCTGCATCCTTGCAAGCTGGCCACTGGGAAAAAGCAGTCTGTGAGGAAAACAACTCTTTCTGACCAGGGTCTTTATCAAGAGGACATGACCACACCATATCAGGAGTGTTTTCCTTACACAGAGTTAGCAGAGAACCCTGACTAACAGCATTTTGAAACAACCCTCCGTACAATTATGGGCTTCATCCCTTAGGTTTGTGGTAGGAGGAAGGACTGTGATGCTCTGCGCTTCCACCCTCCAGTTACTCCACTTACTCTGGAAAAGATGAACAGCAGCGTATCTGGAGTGACTAAAAGTGCTTCATCCAGACCAGGCATCGTTCACAAAGAAACAAAAGCATTCAGTTCTAGCAATGCCTGCTTTTATTTCTCACTGGAAGCAGAGCTGCTTACTTTTTATTTCTTTAAAGACATTCTACATCCTGATAAATAACAGATTAATTTAACTGTGATGACTGCCAAAGAGGAAATTTCAGACTGGATTGCTAGCTGTGCGGAAAATAGCATCCCTCATCCGCGCAAATGGTGCAGTCTGCAAAAAGTTTTACTACTCTGACTCGATGGTGGACAAACTCCTGGGCTACAGCCTCTCTCCATTGCTTCTATTCATCATAGTGACTCCTAAATGAGACACGCTGAAGTTAACAGTGTTAACATTTTTTTTTTTTCTCAGAAATTCAGGAAAAAGTGAATTTTCTGTTGGAGCTACAGTCTATTTGGCAGTCGAAGGGGTGGCAGAGTTCAGAGCCCTGCTCATCACCCACACCTCCGACTTGTGTCAGCTGGAGCAGTTGAGAGTTAGGCCATGTTTTCTGCACAACTGGCTATCCTGTGCTCCCCAGATTTTAGGTGAACAGCTCACAAACAACTTAAAAAGGGCTTAATCAGGCCCCTTGAGGTACGGTAGATCAGTCACCAGAAAAATGGGGCACCCGGGACCACCAGTGAGCATTTCTTAGACATTGTGTAGTGTTTTGGTTGGTAAAAGAATGGGTGAAGAGGTGACTGGTGGAGCCATACTAAGATCCAAAAGCTAAGAACACTGAAGAGAAAGAGAGGGCTTAATTTCAGAGCAATAATAAGGGGTTATATGTAAATTGGAGACAAGTGAGGAAATTAAGCAGAGGACACTTTATAGTAAATTAACATTGAAATCTATTAGACTGGGAAACAATCTTCAAGGAAAGTGGCATAAACCTTATCACATGAGTAATTTAGAGATAGAAAGAATACTGCAGGGAATTATCCTGCATTGACAGAGGAGGATAAAGATGCTGACCTACTAGTTTTCTTCCATCTCTTATGTAGATTTGAAAAGTGTATTCCTATGAGTCTCTGATAATCAGGACAATTGCTCAAGTGGCACCTTTCTGGCTCCACCAGAGTCTGTGCCAATTAAGAGAACTGTACTGCATAAATTATACCTTTTGATATTACTATAATTTGTGTGACTAAACACTTGACAGAAATGTGATATTCTTAGCCTTTCCTTAATAAAATGTCTCGCACTTTGAAGATTTCTCTTCCCCTTCACCCCACTTCAGAGCATCACTGTATCCTGATAGGTGGTACTGGCTGCCACTACTTTGAACAGAGCACAGGAGTCAGACATTTGTTGTATAATGGTTCCAGTTATAAAACAAAAACTTGCAAACCAAGATACCTTGTGAAGCATCTTATGTCTAAAAGACAGAACATTTGTAGTAATAGTAGTAATAATAACAACAACAACAACAACAACAATAACAATAACAATAATAATACTAACAATAATTTGATCCTGAATCTGGTCTTAACTTGCTCTGATATTTTTGTACTTGGGTTTGTGTCATTGCTTGCATGGGTGTATGCACAGCACTGGTTAAAGTAAAGGCTCCTGATAAAAAGCTTGTATCTCTCCTTTTATTATAGTGTTGAAATAACTTGATAATAGAGGAAGCATTAGGATAACATGTTATCTTTCCTGAGTCATCAGCCTATTAGATAAACACGCTTTGTGTTGCAGTGGGCAACATCCTCCCCCTTCTTTCCCCTAGAATCAATAGCCCCTTCCCACCAAATTATTTCAGCTTAGCAAAGAGCCAGACAGCCCCAGCTCACCGCACTGCTGCTGGGAAGGGCGCTGGTACTGCTATCGCAGCGCACGTGTCTAAATACGCTTGCCTCTGAGCAAAACAGACCTGCAGAAAGCTCTCGACATTTTCTCTGTTCTCCCTTTTTACATTTTTATGAAACCTACAAGGTCCAGCTGCAGGTACACATCTCTGCCATCTCTTTATTATCTCTACCAACGCACCTCGGTCTGATATTGAACTCTGGTCCTTTCCTCACTTCTGCAAAATAACCTTCTGGAGTCTCTCATCTACGGCCTTCTACTGTCTTGAGTTACTCTACATGATACAGAAGTGACAATGCTTGGCAAGTCCAAAGGTCTCTTAAAGTGCTTTCCAAGCACCTTCAAACCTGTCATGAATAGTTTTATCTCCATTTTACAGATGTAAACATGGGGGCAGAAAGGCTAAGTGACTGCCCTGGGTTCACGCACAAATAAATATTGTGTCATAGCTGTCCAGTATCCTGAATACTTGGTGTTCTTTCTTAATTGCAAAGAAATCTCTTCCTCTTTCTTTATTCATTTTTCCTCATTATTCTAAATACTTTTTGTTAGTTAGATTTCCTGGAGGATCCAGGAAATTATAGGCCCATCAGCCCTCCTTCAGACCCTAGAAAAGTTATGGAGCAAATCCTCCTGGGGGCTATCACAAG